CTCTAATATCCAAACTGGCCACTGTGACTGGGGAACAATAATGTTAAACCACTGAAAAAGAAACTGCTGAGTGAGCAGTCAGTGAGCCATGATAGCAGTGTCTTTCTCTTCTGTCCTCCCTCTGTCTGCTAAAGTATTCATCAGAGTAAAAACCAGGGTGAGGGGAAAGGTATCTTAAGTAATAAGACGGTCATTTCTCGCTCAATAAGCACCGTACTAAATGTGCTATGCTACATGGATAAATACTGTTCCCTCAACCGCAGCAAGTGAAATAATTCCATGGATGTTCAGTTTCTCTCCCAGAAAATCTTGCCCCCCAGCTGCACTCCAAAATTGTTCTGTCCAAAAGTCTCCATGTAGCAGATTTAGTCACTTACACCTTCCATGGTGAGACCAACTGAACCAATCCCAAATGGAAATGTGCTGACATGCCACGTGTTTCGTTGTAGCACGTTCAGCTGTAACCAACAGTGTTTTTCAGATGGTTAGCATTCCCTCTATAAACATCACTGGACTTAAAGAGGAATCTGAGGCTTACCGTCTCATGTTTATGCATTTCTGTTTTTCCTGCAGACATGTCTGGAACTGGAGAGGTACCTACAGACGGAGCCCAAAAGGCTTTCGGAACTCTTCGACGAGGAGCTCGACTGCCTCCTAACGCCAGCCTTCATGAAGGGAGACAGCGACGAGGACCTGATGGACCCCCTGCTGCCCGGTTTATCCAATGAGCCTAGCCCGCCACCTCTGCTCGTATCCTATCCCAAAAACCTTCATACCCCAGCCAACACCAAGAATACCAAGGCAGGGCTGAAAGAAGCCAGCGGAGGGGTTAATCCCGCCCAGCTAAACGCAGTCACGTCCCTCACGCCGCCTTCCTCGCCGGAGTTGGGACGCCATCTTGTCAAGCCTACGCAGACTCTTACCGCCACAGCCGATGGCACGCTCACGCTGAAATTGGTGGCCAAGAAAGTCGGTCTTGGGGCGGCAAAGGTGGTGGCGACACATTCGCTACCTTCGCCACCAAATCGCGGCGCACAGAGCGACGGAGAGGGAGGACTGGGAACGGTAGGCGGAGGGGACATTCCAGAGAACAAAAAGAGGGTCCATCGTTGCCAGTTTAATGGCTGTAGGAAGGTTTACACAAAAAGCTCCCACCTAAAGGCACACCAGAGGACACATACAGGTGATTAACTGCACCAATAACATCATATGTTTTTTAGCATTTAGCATCACATGTAGCATTTTTAGATTTCCTGGAGAAAGGTTTCTGGTATATCAAATCTAACTACGTGTAATGAGATGAAGTTTCAGAGTTTGGAAAATCTTCTTTGCCAAGCCTCTGATACTACAGAAGGGTCACAAGAGATCTTGTGAAGCTAACTCGATTTTTGCAGCACAACCCCACAGCAAGATAGCTGGTTTTCTCTCTCCTGCACCTTAATCTCCGACTAAAATGAACCCAGCCACACCATTCAAAACCTGCCAGTGCAGTCAGTAATTGCAAGATGATTGATAGACCGACTGAGCTAAATCTCGTTTCCCAGCTAATTCAGGCTTGCACGCTCCGGTGCCGTCGTTTCTGCCCTCTCGCTGAACCTGAGAGCGTGTTGCACTCTGCCGTGGCCCCGAAACCTACTGTGACAGTGGCCTCAATGCAGCGTATCTGGCCCCTGTGGCCAGCTGTTGACTCTGCAGGTTCCTGTGAGTGCTGGTGATGCTAATCGCTTTTGTGCTGATTCTAGCGTATAGACAGCAGTTTCGCTTTTGAAAATGAGGGGGAATAGGCAATAGCAAGAAAAAAGGGGAAAATAAAACCCTGAAGAGACATTTTGGCTTGCTGGCTCGCTCATCACATTATGTGTTTATCAGAAGACAGATTTATTCTTTTAACTGGCTTAATCCTGTTTTTTCGGTTATCATTTCTGTAGATTACTAAAACAGGGAGATTAAAATTACAACAGGATTTAAGCGAAGCCTACATATTTTTGCTTAAGAGCACTCCTGACCCTGAAAATTGAATTAGAATGTTTCTAAATTCTGTAGAAATAAGACATACATAACTTTTTTCCAAACTGAATATTTTAAGATAACTTGAGAGGTGATATGGAGATATTGGAGATATCTATACACTGCAATTAACAAATCCTAATAAGATGAAAGCTTTTCTCATGAATATTAATTACGTTATGTAATGTTACATTATGTTAGAGACAGATGTTGTTAAGCATGCATTAATCAGCTGGCGAAATAACAAATCCAACAAAGCTAATGACTAGATTTGACTGGGCACTCCCAAAAGTTTACCTAAGAACACACTGCATGTCCAAATGTTTTAAAACTTCACATTAAAATGGATTGTGTTCAAAAACATCTAGACAGTGAGAAACGGATGGAGCAGAATGCTGAAATCTTGACATGTATGAAATCGTTTTAGAACTATTTTTATCTTGATGCTGTATTTACAAAAAAAGAATCCACAACCCTCATGCCAAAGAATGCTGAAAAAATACAACCACGCTTTCTCGGATAGAAAACAAAAGCACACTGAAGCATGTAAGGTTAGCTGCATCAGGGAGTTTTATTCAGATTTTTTTAATATACAAATTCATTTGATCAGGTGTCAGAAGTCACTCAAGTAATTTTTCACATTCGCACTTGATCATTTATGCTCATAAATGTGTAGAGCAGCCATGGAGCCTAATGACATGGTCCTACTTTGCTTCGTCAACAATGTTTGCTGAAGTTAATTGCACATCCCTGAATGGGATTTGGAGGGTAAAAGTGGGTTAGAATTAGAGAGCTCATTTTGAAATGCAACATGAGCCACTGGAGAAGACGAAATAAATGGATGATAATTGGACAGTACCTCTGAAATCTAAACTCTCAGTACCTCTGAAATCTAGACAATAATAGCTTACCGCCACTCTGTCCAGAGGAAATGTAATTAACCACACTGTACACACCTAGGACACTGGTGCGAGGGAAGGAGCTTGCTGTTTTGGAGGGGGTTTGTTGCTAGGAGACTATATCAAAAGACTGTAATAGGTTGATTATTTGCAGCTGTAGATACCAATTGAAGCGCCAATATGGCAAATCGATCCCACCTTTCCCCTACCCTCTCTGGGTACAGTTGGGGTTGCCAGGCAACTACATCATGCATATCTAAAGCGAGCAATAATTGGTTGGTATTGCGGAGTGTCCATAGGTTGCATACCGACTGGACGGCTCTTTCTCTCTCTCTTCTCTCCTTTAACACTCTCTCTACCTCTCTCGGCTGGTTGCTAGGCGACTCCATCATGCATCCATGACTCTCCAAGTTATAATTGGCCTGTGTTATGGTTGCCTTGGTTGCAGGTCCAAGCCTGCCTCGCTGCTGTCAGACGGCAAGAGAGGGAAGGAAATAAAGAAGGGGAGGAAGGGGGCTATGGCATAAGGAGGGAGCCAGCGTGAGGGGGTCTTTGGCCAATTATTGTGTGTAGTGCGAAACGTTTGCCGTCTCACACCTGCGGCCCCGCCACTCTTCAAATGACACAGAGATGCTCTTCCTGCACACTTGTAGCAGTCACAGACACGAGAGCAGACGTGGCGATATTTTCTCCAACTGATTTTATAAATTGAAGGAGCTCAAGGACAGGCAAACATAATAAAATAAACCTCAAGGCACTTTGACCTGCTGTTTGTCTGTGTGCGTGTTGCCTGGCAGAGAAAGATGAGAGATGTCAAAGAAGGCCTGCTGCTTGTTTGCAGTATTCCCAGAGGTGAACCAGTGGAAAACAGGCCAAGTTCATTGTATTATATTTAAAAATCCTCTTCTCTTTGTCATCAAAAGTCAAGAAATATGTCTATGGGGGATGGAAAGAGGAACCGGTCAGAAATCTTACTTGGAGTCGTTTTCCTAGTCGCCGCTGCCTTGTCATTCTTTACTTTGTGTTGCATCATAAGAGACTTCCAGGACCGACCGAGTGATGTAGTGGTAAACCCGACATTATGTCATCCTTTACCTCATCTTGCATCATAAAGCTAAAAAACGAGATGGGATAAATAAACTTTAATTTCATTACAGCAATATGTATGCTCATATCAACTGCATACATTTTTGGGATATGAAATATTGCAAAAGCAAATACCTTCCACTTTCTCCACATCTTATTGGATCATATTTTCCTCACAAAAAAAGGAAAAGGAGAAAGGAAAATAACAGCCTGTAATCATTTCCATTCCTCTCTATGATTTTCTCCGTCAGTATCCAGAGTCCGTCATGGAGGTCCAGGCACTTCCTTGCTGAAAGACTAGCATAGAGCAGCATGAGTTTCTATGCTGGTCCAGACTGGTTTAGACTGGTTAGGATGGTCTTAGATTGGTTGAGTAAGATAATTTGATTAATTATCAATAATCAAAAACCAAAAATCTGACTATCTGTCTGCTCATCCATCCATCTGTGCATCCATCTATCTGTCTAGGCATACGTCAATCCATCCATCTATATGTCTGGACTGCCCATCCAAGGCACATAGAAACACATAGATACAAACACCATAGAAAAGAACCACTTGGAACATCTGAGCAACGACTTAGTAATGCTCGAACAACTGCTCATAATGCTCTAGCAACCTACCAACTTTGTCTGACTGATTGTAATAAATCTAACAATCATTTTAAACTTTCAGACATCATGTCTTGAAAAACTTAACCTAAACCTAACTAAAGGATTAAAATGAGCCTACATGCCTAATATCATGTTTTTATTGAAGAAATAAATTACCAACATGGTGGTCATCCTAGTTTAGACGCATGGTCAGCATCAATTTAGTGAACAACTATTTCCAATTGGACAACTTCAAATTTAATGGAGCCTGACTCTAGTTAGGAAGATTGGTGCACACATTGTTTGCTGGAGAGGCTGGCAGCTCTTGCGCTGTGAATATGGCATTGTTTCCCATTAAGCGTCATTAAGACCCCAATTATCATTACCACCTCCGGATCTGAATCAGTGCCATCGACACCCTCCCCATTCCCACCCAGGCCTCAGGCTGAAGCCCGTTCTGTTCCCCAGGAACACTGCAACTGTGCCGGGACCCTGTCTTTGGGTGCTGAAACCCCCCTTCCTCCCTCACTCAAGGCCATACTTTAAATCTGAGGCATAAAAATACAGCATGTGGAACAATTGGTATCTCCTTTCCCATCTGTTTAACTTCATTTGAATTTCAGAACTCACTAGGAGGGTGGAGAACATTTAGCACAAATGGCTTCATTTTGGATACTTGACTTTGGGTTATGAATTCGTTCTGTTATGGTGACTGAGCACATTTAGGCAGCTCCTCTTCGATTTAAGAAAAGATGGAAAATGACCCTTGATTGAATCAATTTCTGTGTCAGAAAACGATTGTCTCCATGTATTGCCTGAGAAGACAGCATTTTTCACGTTTCGATGACTGAGAATGTAGGAGATTTGGGCTACAGAGATGTGATTGGTCGACCGGGAGAGAAAGCAAGCGATCTGATCGGCTGGCTTGGATGTGTGATTGAGAGAAACAGTAATGAATGATGTAGATAATGGAACTGCTGACGGTGCCTACAGTGGCACAGCGGCTGCCTCGCTCCAGAGGTGCACCATCTGTGTACAGGTGTGTGTGAATGGTGAAGCAGGGATTAAATGATGTGTGTTTGTGCATGCAGGTGAGAAGCCTTACAAATGCTCCTGGGAAGGCTGTGAATGGCGTTTCGCACGAAGCGACGAACTGACGAGGCACTACCGCAAACACACTGGTGCCAAACCTTTCAAGTGCAACCACTGCGACAGGTAAGAGACACACTGCAAAAGCTGCAATGCTATTTCACAATAAATGTATGCACATATTTAACCCTTTTTAGTTCTTGAACACCTTGAACACATTTAGCGAATCACAACACACTGGGCCAGCTAACCAATCTGAGCCCATCACGTATTTCTAAGGGAGGGGCTTCATAAAAGCAGGAAATGATCAGCGCGTTTATGGGAGAAGGGACAGAGTGGTGTAGAATAAAGGTAAATTATGTGAAAAATAATGTGTTTTTTTCTTTTAAACGAAGCATTAACACATGTTAGACTGCACCCCATAAACACAATCAAGCCTAGAAAAAAACAGTCAACCACCCCTTTAATATTGAGAACAATTTTTAGAACTATATCTTTATAGTTATCGTCCTTGGTGTGAACAGGCCTTAAGTCTTCTGAAAGTACTCTAACCAACAAATTACTTTACTTTGAGTGCATAAAAGTATGCAAATTTGGATTCACACTTCTCAATAATTATTTAAACGATGTTTCCACACCTTTTGACCACTGAATTGTTCATGACTACTAGGTTAGGATGTTTAAAAAATGGCTTAAATCATAACAATTGCACTCCCAAAGAGCAAATTTCTTTCTAACAAAATATTTCATAGCTGAACATACAGTAAATACATTTATACATGCTACATAATACAGGTTTTTCAGGGAAAAAAGGAAACAGGAAATCACAAGTTTAAAATTCCCTTATATTTCATATTTCTAGGTTTTCCGTGACTGTGGGATCCCCGTTTAAATCTTAAGGGCTATTTTAGGGCAGACACATGATGCAGCGTGGTGAACATGTGTTTGTATGTGTGTTGGTGATAAAGAGTTGAAGAGACACAGGAACAGCAGAGAAAAAGAGAGATTTGCATTAGCATGGGGAGAAAGAGTGATAGCCTGTCAGGTGACAGTATTAGGAAGCTGTCACTCGGGCCTGGCATGCGGGCAGCAATTACACAGTGGAGGCCGCGTGCCCACTGAGCCAGCTCCAGGTGGAAGCACAATTAGACACGGCTCCCTGTCTCGCCGTCGGCATCAAACCAACCTCGCTGCAGCCTTTTGAAAGTTGTCCATTGAACATTTCTCTGCTCCACCGATCCCAGCGGACAAGACGCGGCCTCTGTTCTGCAGACTGCTGCTGACACCTGAACAGCGCCGTTTTCCCTCGGGCGCAGCCGAGCACGTGAACTCTCTGGGGGAAGGCATGGGGAAATCTGTGTCCCTACACTCATTACTCAGTATTTGGCAGCTATTGCATGACAAAAGGAGGAGGAGCCGGCTTGGATAAGCAAATCCACATTGGCAATTCTTTCTCCCTCATGTCAGGTATAAACAAGGGCATCTTCTGAATTTGGAGTTTAGCCTAAGCAATTTAGCTCCGCAGCAGAATCCGCACAGATAGACCCCCATCATTCCCTGGGAAGCATTTAGAAGTTGAGCCCTCCTGTTACTCGCTTTTAATACTAAACCTTGAAGAATCTCTTTGGGGAGCACATCCATTTTTAGTTGTGCATTGCATTATGGGTGTTGTATATAGAGTGGAAAAAGTATTACAAGTGTGAACAGCGATGCTGCTGGGATGTGAAAGTGACCTTGTGCAGCATTATTGCTCTTCACTGGGACAGCAATCAAGAGTAATGTATAGGAATGACAGGAGGCAGTACTGTACAGTCTGATGGCAGGAAGGATGCCTAGTTGAATCTGGATGGAATAAGCCAGCGGCTAAAGGGGATTCAGAGTGCACTCTGTTGAAAACGTGCAAATTTGCCCATCATGGTCTTCAGTTTTGCAACTGTCCTCTTCTTTGGCTCTGCCTCCAGTCAGTTCGGGGTGAGTCCAGTAACAGAGCGGAACTTCCTGATCAGATCATGAAATAGGAATAGAATAGAATAGAATAGAATAGAATAGAATAACACACAATGTGGCATTCTTCTACAATTTGGTATAGTGCCAGACATTTGCAACTGTCTTAAGTTACATAGATGGTCCCTTTGGGGCAACCTGAGGTTAAAAGTCTTGCTCAAGACCATAGCAGTGATTGTTGAACCCACAACCTTTTAGTTCAGCTTAAATAACCTATGCTCTTTAAAGAGACAGTTTACCCAAAATTACATGTTCTATCATCATTTACTCACCTTTATATTGTTCCAAATCTATACAACTAAGTTAATGTACTAAAATGACTAAAACTGAAAGAAAGATAAATGAAAGTTAAATATACAAATATAAAAATATAAAAATAAAAGCTGATTGACTGATTCATAAATACTATAATAATATATAAATACTAAAAGGATACTGGCTCCAAAATGACTCCATACATCTCAACTACATCACTATGTAAAGTCTTCTGAAGTCATACAAATTTGAATAAGGAAAAAAGTTCTCAATGTAATTATTTGGTGACATTTTTTCTTCTAAATATCATTCTTACATCCATATTTTCAAATGTGGTATGGTAATACTAGTATTACTAAGTCAAAACAATGCAGACTGAAACTAAAAAAGGTAACTACAAATAGGTAACCTTCATAAAGAAAGTAAATACATTAAAAAAAGGTTTAAACATTAAAATAAAAGGAAAGGCATACAAGTTTGGAACAGCATGAGTTGTATTGTTTCTCTTTTCTAGATGTAATTACTGACTGCACGTGTGTTTGTGTTATCATCACAATGGGTTATGAGGAGCAACAGTCATGGGCAGTCTAACAGTAAATACAGTCAGCCAACACATACACAGTCATACTGTCTCACAGTCACACACACACACCAGTGTATTGGGCATCATTAATCCTGCCTAATCAAGCACAGCCCCCTGTCAGGTGTTGAGAGGGGTTGAGTGAGAGGTGGGGGGAGGGGTTATGAGATCTAAGGGTGTGCCAGCTGGTGTAGCAGCCACTTACAGTGAGTCACAGGACCATCTGTCCAGTCACTCTGCCCTGCCTCCACACACACACACCTAAAAGCCTAGTCACACCAAGATCGATGCAAATCACAAACGAAAATTTAACCGAATGTAATACACAATGTCATCAGGCTCTGCCAAAAAATCACATACCTGAATGAAAAGAAATTGTACAACTGTAATTTGCATAAAATGAATCCACTGCCAGATGCTAATTGGTCAATACTGCAGTCCAGCTGTGTTAAAATTACACAATATAAAAAAAAAATGGAAAAAATTGTCATAGCAGCACTGGTAATGGTTGGGGATATTGTTAACAATGCCACAGTAACCACCCACTTTTTAGTGGCTTTGGTTCTGGAAATATTTTTCCCCATTCATTTTTCACATTAGAACTTAGAAAACATTAGAACATTAACATTAGTAACCATTAGAGCATATATATAAAAAAAAAAAAAAAAACTCAATAATGGATATAATATGGCTTTTATGAGGGAAGAACTGTGAATGCCAAAACAATGGTACAATATAAAAATACTGATTTGTAGAAATTTGTGATTTGTAAAAATAATTACAAAATATTCGTAAGTAGTGAATTGCGCTTTTTTACTTGGACAATGTCAATTAAATACAGTTTTTTTAGCTTTTTTTTTTCTTAAAGGGTTAGTTCACCCAAAAATGAAAATTAGCCCACAAATTACTCACCCTCAAGTCATCCTAGGTGTATATGACTTTCTTCTTTCAGACGAATCCAGTCGGAGTTATATAAAAAATTGTCTTTGATCTTTCAAGCTGTTTAATGCCACTCAGCAGGTGTTGCAGTGCTTCAGTCCAAAAGAAGTTAAATAAAAAGCACCCATCCATAAAAAAAAAAAGTGTCTCACACGGCTCCGGGGGGTGAACAAAGGCCTCCTGTAGCGACTCGATGCGTTTTTGTAAGAAAAATATCCATATTCAAAATGTAATAATCACTTTAATGTAGCTTGCACCAACAGTTGTACACAGAAGCAGCTCCGGGCTGATGACGTATGAGTTCAGCGTTGCGCATGCGCCGGTGAGTCTCGTGAAAACCAACGTTTGTTAACAGGAGCAAAGGAAGCAAAGTTTCCTTACTTTAGCAAAGGAAAACCAGTCTCCTCTTGGCTTATATCGAAATCCTCCGACATTCTTTTTTACAAATCCTCGTTTTGTACTTCTAATAAGTGTTTTGTTTTGATCTCTCCCCTGCGCTTCCGCGTGCGTGAGCGGCGCATGCGCAAAGCTGAACTCATACGTCATCCACCCGGAGCTGCTTCCGTGTAGGACTGTTGGCGCAAGCTACATTAAAGTGATTATTACGTTTTGAATATGGATATTTTTCTTACAAAAACGCATCGAGTCGCTACAGGAGGCCTTTGTTCACCCCCCGGAGCCGTGTGAGACACTTTTTTTTTTTATGGATGGGTGCTTTTTATTTAACTTCTTTTGGACTGATGCATGCAACACCCGCTGAGTGGCATTAAACAACTTGAAAGATCAAAGACAATTTTTAATATAACTCTGACTGGATTCGTCTGAAAGAAGAAAGTCATATACACCTAGAATGACTTGAGGGTGAGTAATTTGTGGGCTAATTTTCATTTTTGGGTGAACTAACCCTTTAACCTCAGAGCTCATGGTAGGTCTGTCTTGAAAGGTTTCTATGGAATTGTAAAGAAAAAAACAGTTCCTCTATAGAGAAAATGAATGGGATTGTAACTTCTAAAACCCTCATTGAGCATACAAGTATGACTGATCATTGCAAATATGATCAAAGGAATTTTCTTGAAGGGCCATACAGAGAAAGAATGAAAATACTGAAAAAATGGTTGTAAATTTGTTCAACATTCAGAACAGAATTCTGCAAAGCAACTGGGGAAAACCAGAAACCATCTGACTGATATATAATATAGAAAATCATCAAGATGACTCATTTGAAAACCAACTGTGTCTACCTGTAGATGTACATCCTCCTTCCACCCCAATTTCTATCTTGGCTGCTTCCCATCCAAAAAGCAACAGTGGAGTTAACACTTTGGCTCTTGACTAATTAATAATGGATACAGCCAGAGGCAAATTGAAATTATAATTCTCCACTCCTTTCCAACTCTCTACACTCTGAGTTTTTATTAATTCCAGTTAAGATTCACTTTCAAAACTATAGCTGTAATATTGGAATCCTCATAGCCGCATAAATGTAACATAGACAGGTTATCGCAACACTGTATTTTCCAAGCACATTTATGTATTGCTCCTATCAGCAGCGGCTACATGTGAGCTTAATTGATGATGACACAAAAAAGCCCATGGCCCACAACAAGAAACCAACCGCCATGACTCAAGTGCTACATAACTAATGCGGCCGCACAGTTTAAACAATACCATTTCACCTCCAGCCTCGAAATAATTTCTTAATTCAAACAGGCTCGGCGTGATTTGTGGTCGCACTCCCAAAAATGATATCTTTCACAAGGCTTGGCACAGACTTCCCTGCTAACTGCATTAGCAAGATATGCATTCGAAACGATCTGTCACCAGTTTTAGAGCAAAAAGCTGGCTATGCTTAAAAATTCTTCTTTTTTTTCCAAACACCAAATGTTGTTTTCTCTGTTCCATCTGCAAAGCCGCCACACGTCTTCCAAGAAACTCAGACTGCGTCCCTCTTTAGTGCGATGATAACTGTGTTTCCTTAAGTGAATCCAAGCTAACTCTCTCTCCTTCTCTCTTCACAGATGTTTTTCCAGGTCTGATCACTTGGCTTTGCACATGAAGCGACATATCTAAGGCCAAGGGAGACGGGAGAGAGAGAGTGAGAGAAAACGAGTGAGAACGAAGAGGAGAACAGGTGTGCACCGCCCAGACGGGAACATTCACAACAGACTTTGAGTGCACATGAGGGGTCTGGCCGCAAACATCACCAGGAGGAACATGTGAGGCAGCGTGGGCAAACGTTGTTGGATTCTAAAAGTCTTTTCATCAGCGATTAGCCATGCCTTACCGAGTGCTAGCTTGAAGGTCAGACACGGCCAAACACCACCGTTTTTTTTCCGTCATTCTCTTTGTGTACAGTAAATCAATCATTAGCATGGAACGGATACTCAACGCTACATGTATAAAACCGAAACGCACATGCCATTCATCACGTAACAACGGTTCTACTAGAGAATCATGTTCATTGTACATTCTGGAACTTCCTTTTTCTTTTTCCAAGGACACATCACAATAACCAACCTGCAGCTATGTCGTATACAGCAAACAACCAAACACGGAAAACAACATTGCCAATACGTTCTGAGGAGAGACCAATGGAACAAGCGGCCAAATGCAACGCCCGGCCCCCGAATTAGGCTCTGCGTGGGAAAAAATAAAAAACAAAAAGATACGGCAACGCTCAGGATGTGTGCTGACTTCTCGTACTCTTCGCTCAAGAGCGAACTCTTCTCTGCTCTTCACGCCCGTCACCTCACGGGCGACCAAAATGATGCGCAGCGACACTTTCTTGCCTTTGTTTTTTTTTTTAAAGACAGTGTTAAAAAGATGGTTTGTTTTCCTTCTGAGCTGAAATGTCTTAAACTTCTGAAAAGTAAAAACTTGCTTTGTGAACAAGCATAAATGTGCACATACGGGCAACGGGAGGGAACTGTGAGCCCTTCTCAGTATGCACAAGGTTCAGTGACTGCTATCTGGCACTGAAAGGAAACGTTTGAAGCATAAGACGGGAACAAAAACCCCCCAAAAAAGATCGGGATTGCTGGCTTGGTATGAAAGGACAGAAGTCTTCTGTTTTTCATTTTGCTTTGCTCTGATTTGATCCGGGAAAAACTAACCAGAGCATGTCGGCACGGACCTTGTGTGTCGCTCTTGACACTGGAAAAAGTTATTTTGTTTTGTGTTGATACTGGCACCCGTGTAAGAACGTAGTAGTCCGGTGCCCCGGAGGAAGCCAGTGGAGGAGGCAGCTGGCAGGACGTTTGACTCTCAGATTGGAGCACCTGCTGGGATCAGGATGCGAAAGAACTTGATGGCATCAGCCCAGACAAACTTTGCCTGTTTCGTATCCATTGTCTGCACTGATTTTTTCAATGTTCTCTGTGCTTTTTTTCATACAGTCAAAAAAAGCTCAAAAACAAAATAAAAAAGCATAAAAACAAAAAACTACTCGACGGGAAAAAAGCAGAAAACAAAAAATGCGTTAAAAAAAAAAAACTTCACACACACACACAATACAGACAGAATGGTTTCTTTGCTCTTGGCTTTTTCCTGAGAAAAACTAAAGAAGAAAAAAAAAAGTAGAACAATAATTACCAAGTTAATGAACAGCGTTAAAACGAAACACTGCATGGCAGCCTCTTTCAGACAGATACACACACTCGCACACATACATGCACAGCTTGCCTCTCAGCATTATTTGTTTTGCATCGAAATCTTCACAGCAGGGTTTTAGCAATTGTTGTTTTGTAGGATTGCATTCCATCCAGACGTCAGACGTTAAATCGAGAGCTTGTTGATACATTCGAGTACATTTTTTTTTGCTAAACCGGGCCTAGGTCTAGCTCAGTTAACAATCAGCTTCTAAATCGCGGGGACGAAATATATATCATCGTTCCCAAGGTTGTGAAGCCTGTAGTGGCGTCGCAATCAGGGCGTTTCCCTGCTGACCCTCCTCTTCTGCATTGATTTAATGGCTGCAAGGGTGGAAGGGAGATTGAAAGCCATTACGGTTCAGCGGTAATATGTTTCGGAGTCATCACAGACTCTACTAAACAATCCCAGAGTATCCCTTGGGGGACCGCCAGAGCTTAACGATCGATGCCGAAACTCTCCGTGCAGCACTGCCTAAGAGTGAAGGGCTGGTGCCTTTCTCTTGGTTTGAGGCCTGTTGAAGGCAGCTCTTCTATCACTCGTACACACACTCACACATACACAGACTCACACACGCTGTCACTTCTGTTTGACCACAACCACACGCTAGATTTCAGTTGCCATTATTAGTTGATTTCTCTTTATTTCCATGTCATTTTCTCCATTGAAATGCAAAGTCATGCCAAAATTGACGAAACAGTTGGTGAATTGGTTCATCTCCACTAATGTACAATCAGTTGTGGTTTGTGGCACTTTTTTCCGCAAGAAGCGGCCTGTGTATGTGATGACTGTATGTATGAGTTTCTTTAAAGCAAGCAAGCAGGATGTAATGCTACAGTGTCATAATGATGTTCTATATTTCCACAAATGGGGCAATTATTGACAGTGTACAGCATTCTACATGTTTCACATCAACTTTAAAGCTTTGAAAGGGTTATATTTCCGTTTTACTTGCAAGTAGCAGTGATGAGAAGCTACGTTTGTTTCTCACTGCTCTACTTTACTCTACAAAATGACGATTCTGCTTATTCTTTCAGTCACCATATGGGATAGAATAGCAGGAATGCAGGAACCTAAAAAAATGCTTCATATCATTTTTGACACCGGCAAACAATGAAGCCAATCTTCAAATCAACACTGAAGATATACATATAAATATTGTCTGTTTAAATTCAGTGCAAAGCAATGTTAAATGCAAAACTACAAACAATACTCCTCTATTGCCAACATGCTCCAGACGTTACCAAATAAATACGGAATAGGCCAATCAGATTCATTAGCAGGCAACATGCCATACATATCCCCCTTACATATCAAGTGCCATTTGAAACCCCTAATATCTCACTCTCAGAACGACAGCAGCGGTCCAGGCAATCGCACAGATGTCTGATGCATACTTTGCCCAAAGATTTACACATTTGCAAATAAACTGCTGAGTGATGAAAGAGAGACATTTGTGTTTAACTATCTCTTCTGCCCTACACCAGCTTCCTATGATTCGTTCTTGAACGTCTAGGTGACCATTGACTTGGTCTCGAGTATGTGAGCTTGTAAAATACAGTTTAAATGGCAAGTTGAGGATGAGTTTAGAGCCTAACGTGAAGTTCAAGCAGCAAATAAGTCGCATCGGTTCTAGCGCTTCTATAGTCATTGCAGGTCAGGAATGCCTTCAGAAATCAATTTTAAAGTGATCGTTCACACAATCCTAACACAATTCTGATTTAGCTGTACAGAAGACCACTTTATCTACCGCGAGTTTCCGTATGACTTTGAAACGGAGATAATTCTGTGGCGGAGCATTTTACATGACAGTAAGAATGTTTGAAAACATTCTAAGGGAACAATTTTAAGTGTACTAGATCTGGGCACTCTTCCAGTGAAGCTCCCTTCCCAAGCCGTTTGCTTTTTTCAGCTTCAAAGAGGCTTTTGGCAGCTTAAATTTTATACAAAAGATGCTTGAAACATCACAAGGGAATTTTATGACAAAAGGTCAGAGGTGACATCTTTTTCATTTTTTATTGTCCGTATTGGATCAACATTTCACTGCATAACACTCTTCATTGTTACAACTAGCTTAGTCTGTTTAAATGACACTGCTGTCAATTGTCTACATAACATTTAGTGGCATTTCAAGATGCACTTATCACAAGAACAAGGGAACAATTCATTCTTCTGCTTAATAGATCAAGCTTGTAGGTTCATGGCATAACATAAATGGTATTTTTAGTCAACAGTTCATCAAAATAAAGTCTGCTATTCTGCATATATACTCAAATACTCATCCATAAGGTTCCCAGTCACTCACAAACAGAGGTGAGCACTTGTTTGTCTTGAGATATACTGCATCTTGAAGTGCGTCTGTATCCGTGTTTGTCCAAAATTGATATGTCAGTACATAAGGTTTTCACCAGGTCTTTCCCTTTGGCTTTTTGTGTTCCTCGCCTCCCACCCCCATTTATCCCACCCTGCACCTGCAGAACCACGGTCACTTCCTCAAAACTCTATCACGTCAGCTTCATCCCGCAGGTATGCGTTACCAGCTGTCAGCGATCTCTTACCTATGAATGTCCATAGACATCATTAACCAGGGAGCAACCGGCCAACAACAGACCTCAATGCTTTCACAGGTGCTCTCTCTCTCTCTTATCCAAACATGGATCTCGCAGACAGCCGCCAGTTGGTAGAGCAGGCACAAATCTGAAAAAGAAAGGAAGGAAAAAATAGAACAGTTATGTGCCATCTTGATTTATCTGTATGGAAGTGGGACGACATTTTGTCATATGTAGGCTGAAGCATGTAGTTTCTCGCTAGAGCAGGGACCCTCATATTCACTGTCCTCTCTTTCCCTCGCCACATCACTAACACTCCACCCCCTATCTTCCTGTAATCTTCACACTCTTCCTCTCCGTTTTTTTCTATTCTGTTCTTTCCTTGTGTGTTTTTCTTTATTGGTTCTTTTGCTGTATAAAGTGTTTAAAATATTATTATTTGTATGATATAATGTTAGTATGGTAATGTTCTTTATTAAGGAAGAAGATGAAATTTATTTTTGTTACTGGTCTGTTTCATAATTCTTTTTTAAATTGGTATTGTAAGATATCTATGCAAGAACTGTTCAGTGGAGCATTTTTATTTAAGAATGTAATAAGTGTAATAAATGGTAGAATCTGAATGCCTCAGACTGACATTTTCTGTGACCAGAAAAAATAAATATTACTTTGACAGCGAGTGAGAGAAACGCGGTCTTGTCATAACCTTTTATAACCTTTGGTGGAGTTCTTTCAAATAGCCAAGACTCATTACTAGACCGTTTTTGTCACAGAAATCACCACATTGTGACAATGGCTCTGTGTACATTGGCTCAAAATGACTTTTTTTGTGTGGTCACGGTTCATTGGAATTGGAAAGCCGAACACAATCACCAACAACAGCACTGTGAAGGTCAAAGACTATCACATTTTTTTTTTTTTTTTGCAGATAGATATTGTTGTATTTGAATTGATTTTACCAGTGTTCACAGTAACAAATAAATTATTTATAAAATCAAATAATAATAATAATAATAATAATAATTCAGTTACCAATAAATAAGTAAACAAATTTTTAAAATCCATAAATTCCAAGTATTATAGTTCATTAGCCTAGTTGTAAACAATTTTTTTTTTTAATCCATAAATTCCAAGTATTATAGTTCATAAGCCTAGTTATAGGCAATTTCTGGTTGCTGCATTAATAATATAATTACTTATATGTATATTAAGTTATACATATTCAGTATATTGGAAGAAGCCCTGTTGTCCCTATCCTTCAAAGTGGTTGGCCCAAAAAAAATCCTCTACTCGCCCATCAAAAATTTGTCCTGGGATACTAGCATTAGCCCTGCAGGTGTGTGAATGTGGGCCATTTTACAACTACTCATCCAATCAGATTTTCGAGCCAGAACTGTCCATTTTATAATTAAATTTTTATTACAAATGAATGACCCTCCCCCTCCTCAAACTTCTCTCTGCGGGCCATTTTGTGCATCACATCCTTTAATTAGTCGTCACAGGGCTGCCAATGACTAAGCCACCATTTAGAAGCTCGTACCCATGACTCAAGGATTAAAAGGGCTAATCGAATAACTAATGGTTAATTAGAGAGTAATTATGTGAAAGAAAAGGTACTTCTAGCGCACATTCTCACAGCCTTGTAAATGTCTTCCAGTCAGATTTCCTCCATCAGCTTCGCTCTATTATAGCTGATGCTGGTAATTGAAATTCACATTGTCATCGCCTCAAACCAAAAGCAAATGTGAGATTTATACGTCATCCACCTCCTGATGCAAGCCTTACTCCTGACAGACAGTCGAACGCCAGGATGTTTCATCTCAACAGCGGCAACCTGATACACAGCACATCTGGTGTCAAATGTGTAGAGTAAATCCAATTAATTGCATTGTTAATGTGTAGGAATAGACGTGTCAGTGACTGCTGAATAATCTCACCTAGGCTAATCAGGGAAAAAAAGGGAATTCTGCAGGCTGCAAATTTCCAGCTCGGTCTCTCGGGATGCGTGTCAGTAGCTTAATGTGCATATCCAGCCCCCTCCATTCACCAGCCCACTCACCCCCTCTGCTCTTGGCACAGGGGTCGAATCGTCTGGGTGGCGGAGAAGACATTCATCCATGCCAAGTTTATTAATGTAATACGTCCCCGTGCCCTTGTGTGCCGAGACAATGGTACTAAAATTAGTGTGTTGATTAAATGGAAATGATGCCACTGATGTGATTATTGCTTTAATAGGGCTAAACCCCTGTAA